ATTGGAAAACTTCATTGATTTTCTCCTCCAATTTCCACCCTGCCCTCACTTATACCTGGTCTATCTCTGACTCCTCCCTTCCCTTCCTCAACATTTCTGTTTCCATTTCTGGGGATAGACTGGCCACTAAAATCCATTACAAACCCACTGATTCCCACAGCCACCTGGACTATACATCCTAACACCCCACTTCCTGTAAAGACTCCATCCCATTCTCTCAGTTCCTCCGTCTCCGTCGCATATGTTCCGATGAGGCCAACTTCGACAAGGGAGCCTCCAAAATGTCCACCTTCTCCCTCAACCAAGGATTCCCCACCTCCGTTATCGACAGGGCCCTCAACCAGGTCTGACCCATCTCCCGTACTTCTGGCCTCACCCCTTCTCTTTCCTCCTGCAACAGTGATAAGGTTCCCCTTGTCCTTACCGACCATCCCACCAGCATCCACACCCAGAAGATCATCAGATGCCATTTCCGCCATCTCCAGCAAGATGCCACCACCAGACACACATTCCTCTCCCCTCCCTGGTCTGCCTTCCTCAGGGACTGTTCCCTCTGGGACACCCTGGTCCACACTTCCTTCACCCCAGTACCCCCCTACAGCCTACAGCACCTTCCCCTGTAACCAGCGAAGGTGCAACACCTGCCCATTTACCTCCTCCCTCCCCAGTATCCAAGGGCCCAAACATACCTTCCAGGTGAAGCAAAACTTCATCTGCACTTCCCAGAATCTAGTCGACTGCATTTGCTGCTCACAATGTGGTTTCCTCTACATTGTGGAAACGAGGCGTAGACTTAGCGACCGCTTCGCAGAAGATCTACGCTCTGCTTGCAAAAAAGACCCTGAACTACCTGTTGCCTGCCTCTTTAATGCACCACCCTGTTCCCTGGCCAACATCTCTGTCTCTGGCTTGCTGCAGTTTTCCTGCAAAGCTCAACACAAGCTGGAAGAACAGCACCTCATTTTCTGCCTGAGGACCCTGCAGCCCTCCGGACTCAATATCGAGTTCAACAATTTTAGGGCCTAAACTCTCCTGTGTCCCAGCCCCCTACCCCACACACCAGGCCTTATTATCACATAGCCTGCTATTATACACATTGTTAATCACTAACAATCCCCATTAACAACTATTCACCCTCCCAGCCTGATCGTTATCAACTCCTTTGTCTGTCCAACTGTCTGTCCAACTGTCTTTCTCTCTCTTTAGGCTCTATCCTATTGTTTACTCCCTACCCCACCCCCTCCCTATTTTCTGCATATAAACTGACGTTTTCCCAGCTACCACCACTTCTGAGGAAGGGTCACCAGACCTGAAACGTTAACTCTGTTTTCTTCTTCACAGGTGCTGCCAGACCTGCTGAGCTTTTCCAGCAACTTCTGTTTTTGCTAGACTTTTTGCAACTGAGCGGATTCAACAGGAAATCTTGTACCAAACTTTAGTAGCGTGATGGCACCACTGACAGATTTGTTAAAGAACATGAAATTCCTTTGGACAGAATGATGTCAGGAGGCATTTGAGAATTTAAAAGCAGTTTTAGCCAAGCCAAATTTCTCGAAACCCTTTAAAGTCGTCATCAATGCAAGCGATGTTGGCGTTGGAGCTGTGTTGTTACATGAGGATGATCGTGGCATTGAAAGGTCAGTTATTTTTCAAAGAAACTCATTATCCATCAGAGAAAGTACTCAACCATTGAAAAGTTAGAGAGTTTGGTACTGGCCCTACAACAGATGCATATACTGATTACCACCTTTTGATATTTTTGGAAAGATTTAAGTATAAAAACAGCAGACTATTTCATTGGAGTCTTTTGTTACAAACATTTAATTTACAGATTTTACATGTTGCAGGTTGTGAAAATGTTATTGCAGATACATTATCACGTGATTAAAAGAAATGTGTGTGTAGAATAGAAACAGTAGTGTTCAATTCTATATATATATATGTATGTATATATGTGTGTGTGTGTGTATATATATATGTGTATATAGAATTAGTATGAAATGAGTAACTCTAGATTAATGCAATATGGATTTAGTAATAATGGCATTAAGATTTAGCAAAAAGCCATCTTTTCATAATGATTCATTTCATTTCTTAAGGGGAAAGATGTTGTGAATTTGGGTGGAGTACTTGTGAATTGAAAAGCAGGATGTTAGAATTTGTTTGTAAAAATGATAGGGGTTAAGAGTGCACGGTCCCTTTAAGAGGTGATGTGTTTTTCTAAGCTTGGAGATACTAAAAAACATGTCCACAAGCAGCTACGGATGCACAGACTGTTCTGAAATTGAAACATATGTATCAATTGGCTGTGTGGTTGGCAATCTAGGCTTGTTTTGTGTTAAGGCAACCAGCTTGAATATCATCCAATCAATGTAATCCAGGCATTTAAAGACTGAAAACCAATGTAATTTAAATCTGACAGTGTTGACAACCTAGGAGCAATTCTGTTATAAGAAAATTGACAGGTCATCAAGGGTATATAAGAAGACAGTTTTTGAAAATCAGTGCGAGAACAAACTTCCATTGGAGGAATAAAACTCTGGCTCTTACAGAAATCTTTAAGCTCTCTGATTAAGCACCAACTAAAAGTACCATGGCACTCTTAGCTAATATTCCTGACACAAGGATTCAACGAAGAAAGAATTCAGGACTAAAGAATAGCAGAAAAGGCATAGAACATTCCAGAAGATGCATCCTGACTGTAGTTTTGAGTCCAAGTTTTAATCTATTGTTCTTTATTACTTTGGTTTTTATAAGTGGGACTTACATTTATTAGAACAGCATACTATTAGAATTTTGTTTTATTCGGGAATTGTTAGCAGTTAGGGAGGAATTGTTCAGTTTGTTAGTAGTTCTGTTGATTTGATCACTATTAGAGTTAGATAAATAAATTGTAACTTGTGGATTGTAGAGTGACTGTCAGGGAGTTCATTTCATTTAACTATCCCCTCTGTAACACATAGTATTCTGACATTTGCAAGAACAGCCTGGTTGAGTATGATCAGCATCCTGCCTGCTGCAAAGTGTCATTGGGACATCTTGTTTGATACAGCCCACCAGTTCAAAGTACAAACTCCATACCTGGCATCACATTAGCACAGGGACCCAAATTACATTATTCTTCAGTGTGGAAAGCAAAGCATATTTTTGGTTTGTTGGCAGCATCTGTTACTGGAGAAAACCTACAATCTGCCAAGTAGTAGTGAGAGACAGCTAGCTTCACCTGTTGTACACATTTTGAAAGATTATTCCCTGGGTAATCTGAGGTAGACTGATCATAGTTTAAGGTTAAATATAGAGGACAGAGACTCATTCATGAGTTTGACCAATACAGCGAGTGCTGATTTGCTCACGGTTGCTATTTTTATGATCTATCTTAGCTTCCAACTTACAACATGAGCAGATGGCCAGGGCCCTAGAACAAGGTTGCCAATGAAATTGATCTTGAATTATGGAACTGTAGGAATCCCAATGTGTAGATACAAAATTAAAATAGGGCAGGTGCTGAAGATAGGAAATGAAGCAGTCTTTATTTCTCTCCATAGATGCTACCTAGCCTGCTGAGTAGTTAGCATTCTTTTGTTTTTAATTCAAATCTGTAGATGCCCTTTACAGAATCTAAACAGCTTAATCTCAAGGCAATTAAATAGTTAATTGCAAACCTATTACAAGTGATTCAATCTGCATGTTGTTTATGGTTATTTATTTTTTGATGTGTTTCTCTCAGGTATTGTTTTGCATTAACAACATCCCTCCCACCTCCATATTCTGGACCTGACTATTCAATATTGATGACTTTCTAGACTTGCAGTGATTTCAAATGTCAGTAATATTTAAGTTGCTTTTTTATATCCTTGGAGGCCTGTTCAACAGCACATCAAGAACAAAACTCTCACTTTCATGGTAATGCCAAATATCTTATCAACAACAGACACCTTGCATATTTCCAGACCCCAGCAAATGCCCACATTTATGATCTAACCTCCTGGGCGTAGTAGGTTCGCAAGTGCAAGCTGCCAGCAGTGCTAAGGGATTACAAAGTGAAATGCTCCAATGTGTTCTTTTTTTCTGGTAATTGGAATCATATCGATAAGAACATACAAATTTAAGACAGACATGACGTACAGACTGTAAGGAAGAAATTTTCAGAAAAAAAAAGTCTAACCTAGACACCACTTACTGATGTGAACAAACATTTTGAATTCCAGCCTTTATTACAGAGCTGATTAATGGAAAGTGGCAACATTGGTTGTCTTTCGCAGATTTGGAGCATAAGATCAGGCCAAGAATCTTGCCTGTCCACCGTAGAACTGGTGTAAAGCTGCCAATTTGTTTAATCATATTCAAATAAAGCTCATTAACATGTGCTGATATGACATATAAATCCAAGTACATCTCTGAACTGGAACTTTGTGAGAATGCAAAAAAATCCTGCAGCATGACATCTTTGTTTTGCATTGGAGGGCCACTTCATTCATTTGTCTCTCACACAGTAACAATTACTCATTTTATGTAACATTTTCTTTTACAAACACTTACTAGCACCCCACATCCTTTCAGTTTTTTTTCCCCTGGCATAAAGCTCCATAGGTACCCCCATACAACTGAGAGACTTTGACAATCAATTTCCTCCATCCTAGACAAAGGACCATTTGTAAGGGACAGTGGTGAGATTGGCTGAGTCAAAGCCCAAGAGTCATCCTGGTCTTTGTTATTTAGTACCATAATAGGGAGGGTGTTTAGACAATGGACTAGCAATTCAGTAGATGTGCACATTTTTATACTACCAGAAATATATCAAACACATTGAAAATAAATCAAATGTAACATGTATTTTGCGTATTAATCTTACTAGTTATGCTGAAATAAAAGGACAATATGGAACAGCAATTATTGCATCATGTCATGAACTATTAAATATTAACACCTGTTCTGCCTATTAGCATGTTAAAAGCATTAACATATTGTACTTTTTCAAAGAAGGCAATAACTAATTCTCACTCATTTAAAATACAGACATATTTTATTTTCATGTACCAAGAAACCAACAGTTACAGAAGGACATACCATTAATACATCTGTAATAGTACATTACATATAATTTGTAACAAACAATGCAACATATATACTGTTACTACATTCTAGGTTTTCTTAACGTTGGCCATTTGTTTGTATTTCATGAATATTTTTGTCTCTGTACCAAACTACAGCATGTCAAGGAGATGGATTGAAGAGATACGTCACACAAAAAAAAAGTCATTGAAGCGTACTTGTGCAGTTTCTTTGAACAACACATCACAGATGCATATTTGGGATACTTGCCTTCACCTCTGTGCTCAAGGAATTTACAAGACAGTACAGCATAAATATACAAAGATCTTAATATAAATGACTATGGGGAGACGTTCAAAACTGAGATACCTTGCATACTGGGTTATCTCAATCACTGAGCTATCATTAGACTTGAGAGGAACAGTTTAATCTTTTTCTCACCTCTTTTGTAAAGACTTGACAGTGAACATATTTCTTCAAAAAGTTACAAAAAATAAATATTCACAGGACATTTTAGCAGTTTAATATATGAGACTGCACATTCCATGATGCAGACACGTGAAGCGAACAGATTAACTGGACTGATTATCACACAAGCTGCACAGTGACTGCTTAAATTTTTCTCCATTCTTGCTATTTACCAAAGTTTAGTCGACTGAGAATTATTTATCAAATAAAGCTCATTAACATCTGTGGATGTCACATAAAAATTCAAAAATAATATTGTATGCCCAACATAGTATCACTGTGAAAGCATGTAAAATAATATTTACAAAGATAGTTAATAAACGTGTTCACTTCATAATATATTTCCAAAGTTTCTAACTCCTAGAGTTTGCTTTCTTGTGCAAGTACCAACATAATTGAAGTACTCAGTGCACCATTAAATTCCTTTAAAATTCTAAGCTGTATATTTCAGTGATTGTAAAGTCAGCAAAACACAGTGCAAACTATTTTATAGAAAAATCAGATTGATAAATAAAAAGAGCACACTTCAATCAAATATCATAACCACTGTTACAAAGTAACTATGCTACAGTACAGGTCAATTTGCTTGTTTTTTTCAGTTGATTTTAATACTTACAGAAAATGTATTCATGAAATTAACATAATATCTCATACACATTGTATAGGGATCAAATTACAAACAAGTATGGTAAATGCGTAATCTACCATTGATAATGACCTTGAAAAGACATATCTATATTAACAGACGATTTAAAAAAACCTTCAAAAGATACTCTCAAACATTTTTGCCTTTTAACTTTATTTTAAAAACATTTATACACTAATTTTTCAAGACCTTCATATGTAACTAATAGTATGTTGCGTCAGTAAAATGTGCTCCGAGATTTGTTCATTCAAATAACTGTTAGAAATTGATGCAACCAAAATGAACTTGCAATCAAAGGGATCGTCAGAGTGGAAGTTATGCACATGAAACTGCTGATGCTGAGTGACATTTGGGAAGGTGAAGTAAAACATTACAAATTGACGTCATTCATCACATTACACAATGTAAAAACTGCAAAGTAGATTTTTACTTTAACTCCCACTATAACTTTTCTTTGTCAGGAAGGATTGAATCTAAATTTAAATTTCTGTGACATCTTTTAATTTCTCACAGATATATAAGCAAATTAAGCTAACTGTTCTGTCTTAACATAAATACCAGTCCTTAATGACATTTACAATTTTGAAAGCTATCATTCATAACATTGAATGCAAATATGTATGTTCTTTTCACATTTGGGGTCTCCCAAGAAGAAAAGGTCAGTATTAAGTAGACAGACTGCAATTTTATGTGAAAAAGATCATGGAAAGAGGAAGTTTGACTGGGATATAAAAGAATTATAAAATAAAAAATAAGACTTCTTTGGTGTGGAACTAGATATTAATTGGAAAATCTGAAAAGTTCCCTCATTTGTTTTGTTCAATTATAATGGAAAAAGAAACAAAATTATGTCCATCTCTCTTCATTCTGAATCTTTTAACTACTGTCCCATTTACTACTACACATTTCTGGATAAAATAATCAAAAGAATTTTTAATAGCATAATTTGGAATAGTTCACACTCCATCATATTTTTCATGGCTGGTAAGCAATGAACCACTATAGGCTTGTGCGTGTTTAACGTACAATTTATACAATACTTATTCTACAGACTCCAATTATGTTGTTGCAATAAATGAATATTCAGAATGTTAGCATTTTTTCTTTTCTTGGCTGGACATAAGAAAAGAAGATTTTGTCAGATGGCTTAAAATGAAATAAAATGCAACTGTTATTATGTTGCAGAATTAAATATATTTAAGCTCAACTCCAGAACATAATCCCTTAGATTTTAAGAAAGAAAATAGCGACCAATAGCCTGTGAAATGGCAAAAAAAAGTTTGGAACAGTAGGCAGAGACATGAAATGCTGTAAATAAGAATTAGGACATTAAAACACTTGTAGCTGAAGATATCTATTGATAGTTATAGTGAGATCATGAGTGTATATGCAATGTGTTTACAATTTCATTATGAACTGAAATAAGCAGAAATTTTATTGCAGCATTTAATCAGTATTACCAAGTGTAAATTTTTTTGTGTGTTACACATTTGACTTTACATTAGAATTTGGTCAGTGTTGTTACCAATACTGGGCAAAATAGATGGTCTGAGGCCACAAAGTGAAAAGGACAAAAACAGTATTTGAAGAACCCATTGGTTCCTGTTCAGTACACTGTTACAAACCTCACACATTTTAGATATATTTTTCAAATGAGTCACTCCATCACAGAACATTTAACCTGAACAGACACACAGCAATAATGCTTTTCCAGGATCTGAAGTGACAAAGAATTGGGTTTAAATCTAACCCCAGACCTCAGAGGAACTAACGAGATTCCATTAAATACATGGTTTTTGTATTCTTCTAAAAAACTAAGCAGATGATCATCATGATAGTACAAACCATTTTAAACACTGCAGCTCACCCCATCAGCTGTGGATTTATCTATGTTCCTTGCAAGATCCCAGCTGGAGCACTGTCAGAAATGTTCACAGTGGTTCACTAGCTATTTCATTTCAACTGTATACAAAAGTATGCTGATTTTTGTAAAACATATGCAGTGTCTTTCATGCCACTGTTGATTGCTTTGTAATCCTGACATCAGAGGACTTCCTGGCATGCCCACAAAAGTTTCAAAAAAAATCTTCAGAATTTTAGCGTTAACAGTGAAATCTGAATGAGCTTTACAAAAATGCTACGCTAGTATAGAAAATCAAAAGACTGACAGACAAGAGCCTGTAAAGCAGCATGGATCATTTATCAGCAAAGTGGATCTCTAAACAAACTACTTTTTAAAAAAAAAGGTGGTTCTTGCATGCCGTGGTTTAGCATTCAATATGTCAAATTCAGAGTACAAGCACACATAATCCCACACAATGCTAATGTAAAGAATTGTAGCAAAAACAGCAGCCATTTGCTAACATGACCATAACAATAGGAGAATAGGTTCTTGAATTCCTTTGCTCTTCTTCTGCTTCTTTGGAACAGGCAATGGAGTTAACCTTCAATAAAAAAAAACAAACAATCACACTACTGTCATTATTAGAGTGAACCTTTCAGTTTTATCTTTACCAATTTAAGTCAATATGAAGAAGTATTACAACATCTATGAAGAAGTATTACAACGATGTTACTGAGACTGACAGGTTTGAGTTATAAGGAGAGAATGGATAGGCTGGGACTTTTTTCCCTGGAGCATAGGAGGCTGACGGGTGACCTTATAAAAGGTTTATGAAATCATGAGGGACACAGACAAGGTGAATAGTCCAGGTCTTTTCATAAGGGTAGGGGAGTTCAAAACTAGATGGCATAGGTTTAAGGTGAGAGTGGAAAGATTTAAAAGGTACCTAAGGGGGAACTTTTTCACAGAGTGGTGCACATATGGAACAAGCTGCCAGCGGAAGTGGTAGAGGTGGATACATTACAACATTTAAAAGACATTTTTGAACAGGTATACAGATAGGAAAATTTTGGAGGGATCTGGGCCAAACCAAGGCAAATGGGACTAGCTGAGTTTAGGAAACCTGGTCAGCGTGGACAAGTTGGGCCAACAATAAATTTTAATTCTAATTCTAGAAAGGTCTGTTTCCATGCTAAATGGCTCTATGATGTTGGGAACCTTAGTGTTCTCTGAAATGCAGGAAATGTAGGACTGACAATTATGATACTAAAACAATATGCTCGTGTTTTGGACCACAATTTACAATCAGTCACATTGGACACATGGCTGAAAAGTAATAAGTTCTGACTATTTTGATGAGCTCTTGTAAAACAGGAATAACATCATATATTCCTCCTCCTTCCAAAAGGTGTTGATTTAGTCCAGTGTAATAAAGAACTGCTGTTGAACTCAAATATATCTGACATTTTTACTAACGTATGTTTACTGTGGTTTCATTACATTGAATGAATAAGAACATTTGAATAAAGCAAATAATAGCCAACATAATGTGTAAGTAATAAAATTCATACATGGAAATCGAATTCATCTGAAGAAATATTTCGATTTGAATTTTGTGTTGATTTCCTTGCATACTGATTTAAATTTTTTCAAACACTTTAGATAGGATTTTTAACCAATATGCAATAATTATTGCAATTATAACAAGCACAGTCCACTTGTACATTCATTCTGATGTAAACAAATATTAACATTTGGAGGCTACACTAAGAGCTTGAATCAAATGTTTGGCTTCTCTTGTTTATATTTTTAAATTAACTATCATTTTGATGTCCCTTTTAATTCTCCTCTGTCTTTCCGTTCGATTCTATGAATCTTTGCAAATATGGTACTTGAAAATTAATATTTACTAAAATCCAACTAATTTCTTTCTGCAAATAAGCCTACATATTAATGATTCAGTTATTCAATGATTCTTTTGAAAATTAAGGACACTAATTGTAAATTCACCCAAGTTGAGGTGAAATTACATAGATCACAAACAGCTTCAAACTAGCTACCATAAACATCAATGCTTGAGTCTTTGTAGCCCCCAAAAAATGGTCAACAGACAGCAGTTGACTTATATGCCAAGTATGAAATACACACCATTGGTGTGGGGATTGCCATGTTGAAATATAAAGATACAATGTATTGGTAATTAATATATTAATGCGGCACCGCTTATTGAATGTATCAAATGTACAAAGAAACCTTTGAGCACTATTAAAGCATTTTAAAATCTCTCAAATTCAGAGTGTTTGATATTCAATGTAAAGACTTCTCTGAACTTATTGAGTCGCTTTGATCATGGAACCATTGTAAGGATTCTACCCTCTATTAGATATGGTAGTTTGCACCTTTACCTTCCACAACAAAACACCCACCTTTCTATCTTCAAATTTGTTAAAAAAAAAATGCAGTCATGCACTAATAGCATAGCATAATTTGATGATGAAATCTCACAAAGCATAAAACAGGGCAGTGCAAATATCTCCAGTCTTTGTGAAGGTATTTTGTTTGTCACTATGTATCTACTTTACTCAACACAAACAGAATCCTTGAATAGTTTGCTAAAACACACACTTAAAGGTTGAACTGTGGATGGTAGACACCCATGATATGGGTGTTTTTTTGCAGATGCCTCTTGATCTCCATGAATATGTGGGATTTCAATAAGCCCCACACTAACAAGTTTCATTCTTTACGTAGGCTGCCAGGATACCCATTCCACACATTATTGATACATTAATTCACCCCAATCTTGGCCGTGGACATGCACAAGAATTCTTGCAGGGAATTAGATTTTCACCATGGTTTTACAATTGAAAATTAGCTTAAGATTTAATTTCACTCCGTTGGCCTTAGAAGCTAGTTGGGAAATTTAAATGGTTTCTCATGTCCCATGGTTTTCACCAGAACTGCTTTTGAACCTTTTCTCTCCATAGATTGGTTTTTGGGCACAGAAAAAGGTCATGGGGACGTCATTTATGTGGGCGATTTAGCAGAATGGGTATTGTGTTTTTATCACTGTCTGAAGCTGAATCGGTACAAAAATTACCAGTTTCTATTGAGGTATTTTGATCTTCTGCAATACCAGGCATTTATCAACTAGCTGTTACTCTGACATCTTTGCTGGATTCAGGGTTTGATTCAGCCCACTTAAGTGTGTAAATAGACAAGGTCTTTCTGGTGACAATTAAACCATTTGGATGATGTTTCAAGACCCATTCTGATACATGCTCCACAAGATCAGGCCAGTGGTTGGTCTTTGTTTGAATGGCGCATGTGGGAGTCTTGGGCATCTTTTTATTTTAGGGTGGGTTCCATTTTCCATCAGTTTTTCCGCCCCCCCCGGCCACAAACACCAAATTCCTTTCCAGTAGCTCAGTTATTTGGTGAATGCGCATATGCTATGACTTTTAGCTTGACACCAGCTTCACGCTCAATTCATTTTTGTTGGAAGGCTCATTTCTCTTCACCATTTACCATGTGGGGTCAGCTCTCTGTGGCTGTGTGTTAAACTTTCACACATCTTCACAACACACAATTAGGTTTATTATCATGTGTACTCTCATACAGGAGTACAGTGAAAAGTGTACCAAGTCACCATTCTTCAGCGCCATCTTAGGTTCAGAAACACAAATTTTAAAAAACCATCTTAGATATAAAAACTAAAACAGCCATCTAAAATACAAAAACCAGCATTAAAAGAGAGCAGAAATACAAAAAAAAATCAGCCACGGAGAAAGAGTGACGCGTCCAGATCTAAAAGTCTTATCTCCACAAGGTGGTCTTCACTCCATAAGGTTAAACTCCGATGAGTTGTGGGGGAGAAACAGAGGCAGACTCACACCCATGTGAGTGTAGCATGTTGTGGCTGAAATTTGGAGAGGGTGGGGGGGCTTCGACTTGGATGCAGAGAATATGCAAAAACACAATTTGTGGCTTGCAAAGAGGGGAGTAAATCACATACACCACAAACTCTGCGCAATCACAAAACTAGTCACAAACCTATTCGGTCTTTAACTGTAGCAGTTGTTACCTATACTTTTTAACATTTGTATTCAGCTGTTATCCTATTGCAGCTCGACAAGCACAAAGTGCTGAATAATTAATTGGCTCATCAGTACCCACAATGCATTCCCATCCTGACCTACATGCACTTTGAACTAAATATTTTTTTTTGTCGCCTCTTTTCTTAGAACCAGCTGACAGCACCACATGATGGAAAAGATGAAAAATTAAAACGAGCGCTCCTGTAGGGTAGGTGAGTGACCTGTGGGAGAAAACTCAGCCGGAGAAGATTTTCGCACCTAGCATCAGACAGCTACAAATTGATTAGTTAGTCTGAGGAACTGCCACCAACCAGGCTCGAGAGACTAATTAAAGAGAGTACTGCCTGCACAGACACCCCATTGACACTAAATTTGCTCAGCTGGGGCCACGAGGGAGTCTGCATTATCTCTACAGCTGTGGTTTCTCTTGTCTGACTTACATTATGGATACGGGAAGAGCACTGCTCTCTTCGCTTTCCCTAAAAAAATTAAATTGTAAATATCCTTGTCAGTGCTTTTGAATGCCTGATCCAGGTTAGTTAAATATGTAAAAAGTTAATTGGGTGACAGGTGCTAACGTCAACCTGTATGAATCACCAGAACAAATTCATACACATTTTAAATTCAATTTTAAGGGGCATTTATTCAGGGCACTTTTTCCCCCTGAGGCAATTGTGCCGAGTTAGGAAATTGCCCAACTCTGCACACGTGCCTTGGAAGCTAAAATCAGGCTTTAACATCGGCCTGCTCCTTTCCTTAGAGAAAAGGAAACACGGAGAAATATAGGATTCTTAACGGGCTAGACAGGGTAAATGCTGAGAGGATGTTGCCCCTCTAGGGATAGTCTAGGACCAGAGGACATAGCCTCAGAATAAAGGGCATCAATTTAAGATTGAGATGAGATCAGGAGGAATTTCTTCTCTCAGAGGGCTGAGTGTCTCTGGAACTCCTTGCCACAGAGAGCTGTGGGAATAAATACCTTGTGTATATTTAAGGCTGAGATAGATTGCTTCTTTATCAGAAGGAAACTCAAGGGTTATGGGGAAAGGGTAGACAAGTTGACAATCCTATTGGATGGTGGAACAGGCTTGAGGGGCTGAATGGTCTCCTGTTTCTATTTCTTACAGTCTTGTGGAAAACTAAATACAAGTATCAATGATCGACAATGATACTAAAATCAGACACCCTCATACATGCATGCATTTCGGAAGATTTTCTGGAGGTTGAGGAAGGGGAAGCTATAGAGCACAAGTGAAGAGGTTAGTAAACAACTAACTATCAGGTAATGATTGCAGTTTCAGATTGCTCGAGTTTTTACTGAAGTTAGTGAAAAATGTTAGAAAAATGGCCTACCTACATTGAATTGCAACTTCACACAATCGCAGAAGTGTTATGGTGCAGATGGAGGCCATTCGGCCCATTGTGCCTGCACCACCTCTTCAAGCAAGCATCACTACCTAATGCCAATCTCTTGTTTTGGCCCTATACGTTGCGACACTATTTT